GAAATTATCACACTGGGAATTTAAAATAATTATGATGAATATGCTAAGGGTTCTTTTTTTGAGGAAGATTAGCCCTGAGCTAACATCTGCCACCAATCCTCCTCTTTTTGCTGAGGAAGACTGGCCCTGAGCTAACAGCTATGCCCACTCCCATCTTCCTCTACTTTATGTGGGACACCTGCCACAGCATGGCTTGACAAGCAGTGCATAGGTCCACACCTGGGATCCAAACCGGCAAACTCCAGGCTGCCAAAGCAGAACATGTGAACTTAACCACTGTACTACCAGGCCAGCCCCTAATGGTTTTAATGGTAGTGCCAGAGGAGGAGTAGTGGAGAGTCAGGACTTTCACCACCACCCTACAGTAATGAGATCATCCTACCAGTGTCAGCAGAAACCACAAGGGGAGCCAGAACTCCCATCCCTCTTGTTTGTTTGGGCTGATATAACAAAATACCACAGACTGGGTAGCTTATAAACAACAGAAATTTATTTCTCACAGTTCCAGAGGCTGGAAGTCCAAAATCAGGGTGCCAGCAAGGTCAGGTGAGGGCTCTCTTCTGGGTTGCAGACTTCTCATTGTATCCTCACATAGTGGAAGGGGCAAGAGAGCTCTCTGGAGTCTCTTTCATAAGGGTGTTAATCTCACTCATGAGATCTCTGCCCTCACAACCTAATCACTTCCCAAAGGCCCCATCTACTAAGATCATCACATCAGGCATTAGGATTTCAACCATGAATTTGAAGGGGGTAGGGCACAAACACTCAGACCATAGCACCTGTCTAACAGTAAAGAGATCCTCCCCTACACTGTGTGTCAAGGGAGACTGAGCAAGGAACCTGGACAGCTCTATCCAGTAGTAACAGGTGGCACCCTTCTTCCTCTGAGTTAACAGTATCAAAAAGCCAATCAAAATAGAATGTTTAAATGAGATCCAAAGTATCATAACATAATACTCAAAATTTCCTGGTTTCAATAAAAAATCTTTTGTCATTCTAAGAACCAGGAAGATGTCAAACTGAACAAAAAGAGACAATAAACAGACACCAACACTGAGATAACAGATATTAGAATTATCTGACAAAGATTTTAAAAGTCAACATGAAAGTCATTGAATGATCATTTACAAACATGTCTGAAACAAATGAAAAATTAGAAAGCCTCAGCAAAGACTATAAACACAAAAACCTTACAGATCAAAACACAATTCTAAAAAATGTTCAAGTAATACATAAGAAGGCAGGAAAAATAAAACAGGGCAAACAAAAAATGAAATGATAGGCTTAAGCTCTAACATAGCTGTAATTTCATTAAATATAAACAGTCTAAATACATCAATTAAAAGAAGAAAATTAAGTGGGCCAGCCTGATGGCATAGTGGTTAAGTTTGCACACTCTGCTGCAGCAGCCTGGGGTTTGTGGGTTTGGATCCCGGGCACAGACACACACACCACTCATCAAGCCATGCTGTGGTGGCATCCCATGTACAAAACAGAGGAAGACTGGCACAGACATTAGCTGAGCAACAATTTTCCTCAAGCAAAAAGAGGAAGATGGGCAACTGATGTTAGCTCAGGACCAATCTTTCTCACCAAAAAAAAGAGAAAAAAAGATGAAAATTGACAGTGCTTTAAAAAACATGACAATTATATGCTGTCTACAAGAAACTCCAATTATAATGATATAGGCAGGTTGAAAACGGATTGGAAGATTGAACACAGTAAAGATGTCATTTCTCCCCCAAATAAATATATAGGTTTAACACAATTCCTATAAAAAAAATCTCAGCAGGATTTTTTGTAGATATAAACAAGACCATTCTAAAATTTATATGGAAAGACAAAGGAACTTTAGGAATAGCTAAAACAACTTTGAAAAAGAAAAATAAGAATAAAGTGGGAGGAATTGGTCTACCTGATTTCAGGACTTATTCTATAGCTATAGTAATTAAGACTGGGGTACTGATACAGGTAATAGACAAATAGATAAATTGGCCAGAACAAAGAATCCAGAAATCCACACATTATGCCTAACTGATTTTTGACACAGGAGCTTAATGGAGGAAAGACAGCCTTTTGTGCAACTGGATATCCAGAGGCAAAAACAACGACTCAAAACAGACTGAGGACTTTAATGTAAAATGTAAAGCTACAAAACGTTTAGGAAAAAAAAATAGGAGAAAATTTCAGGTCTAAGGTAAATAGAGAGTTCCTAGACTTGACACCAAAAGCATGATCTATACAGAAAAAAAATTGATAAATTGGACTTCATCAAAATTAAAAACGTTTACTCTATGAAAGACTTTATTTCAGTGGATGAAAAGACAAGTTGGAGAGTGGGAAAAAATATTTGAAACCACACATTCAACAGAGGACTAGTATCTAGATTATATAAAGAGCTCTCAAAACTCAAGTATAAACAGTTCAACTAGAAAATGGGCAAAAGACATGAAGAGCCATTTCAATGAAGAGGATATACTGATGGCTAATAAGCACATGAAAAGATGTTCAACATCATTAGCCACTAGGGAAAAGCAAATTAAAATCATAATGAGATACCACTGCACACCTATCATAAACACTAAAATAAAAATAGTGACAACACCAAGTGCTAGTGAGGATGTGGACAAATTAGATCAGACATACATTGCTGCTGAGAATGCAAAATAGTACTGCCAGTCTAAAAAACAGGTCGGCAGTTTCTTAAACCCTAAACATGCAACTACCATATGACCCAGCAACTGCAGTCCTGAGCACTTATCTCAGAGAAATGATGACTAACAGTGATACTGTGATTTATATTAAGAAATGTACATATTGGTCTTCATCCATGGTTCCTAGCACACAGCTCCTAAAACTCTTATAACTTCCTAAGTGATACAGAATAATGGAAGCACCTTTTGTTATAATAGTTTTTTTGTCCTCAATCCTGAAATAGCTCCAGAGGATAAAGGTAAAAGGAGTGTCCTTTGTTATTCATAACAAGCCCTTTTCAATCACACCTGAGTTTATGTTAATGAGGTGATTTTGGAAAGCCCCTAGGTAACCACAAGATGGGGGCTGACTGCCAGGGAAATCAACCAAGTGAGTAGAGGGTTATAACTTTCAGCCCTACCCCCCTGCCCAATCCCACTCTCCAACCTCAGAGAGGGACTGAAGGTTGAATTAATCACTGAACGCCAATGACTTAATCAATCATGCCTACATAATAAATCCTCCATAAAAATTCCCAAAGTATGGAGTTTGGAAGCTTCTAGGTTGGGGAACAGAGAGGTGCTGGGAGGGTAGCACATCTGGAGAGGGCATGGAGGCTCCACACCCCTTCCCCAAAGACTTGCCCTATGCATCTGTTCTATCTGGCTGTATCCTTTCAGAATAAACTGGCAATCAAGTAAGCAAACTGTTTTCCTGAGTTCTGTAAGCCATTGTAGCAAATCATCAAACCCAAAGAGGGGGTTCTGGGAACCTCCAATTTATAGCCAGTCAGTCAGAAACACAGGTGACAACCTGGACTTGTGACTGGTGTCTGAAGTGGGAGCAGTCTTGTGGTACTGAGCCCTTAATCTGTGGGATCTGACACTAACTGCAGGTAGATGGTGTCAGAACTGAGTTAAATTGTAGGATACCCAGTTGGTGTCCACAGATAACTGGAGAATAGCTTGGTGTGGGGGAAAAAACACACGTCTGGCTCAGAAGTGTTCAGAGAGAAAAACAGCGAGTAGTTTTTTGTTATACTCACTTTCACATAAAAACCTGTGAATGAATGTATGTAGCAGCTTTATTTAGAACAGCCAAAAATTGGAAACAACCCACAAAACAAACTGTGGTACATCCATACCATGGAATACTACTGAGCAATAAAAAGGAACAAACTATTGATACTTGCAAGAATTTGGATGAATCTCAGATAATTATCCCAAGTGAAAAGTGCCAATCCCAAAATGTTATGATCCATTTATATAACATGCTTGAAATGACAAAATTATATAAATGGAGAACAGATTGGTGGTTGCCAGGAGTTAAGGAATGGTGAGAGAAATAGGTGTGGCTATAAAAGGGAAACAGGAAGGATCCTTGAGGCGATAGAACTGTTCTGTATCTTAACTGCATCAATGTCAATATCCTAGTTGTGACATTGTACTTGTCTTATAAGATGTTACCACTGGGAGAAAGTGGAAAAAGGGTACATGAGACCCATCTGTATATTTTTCTTTCTTTCCTTCTTTTTTTGAGGAAGATTAGCCCTGAGCTAACTATTGCCAATGCTCCTCTTTTTGCTGAGGAAGACTGGCCCTGAGCTAACATCCACGCCCATCTTCCTCTACTTTATACGTGGGACACCGACCACAGCATGGCTTTTGCCAAGCGGTGCCATGTCCGCACCTGGGATCCAAACCAGTGAACCCTGGGCCGCCAAGAAGCAGAACGTGCAAACTTAACTGCTGCGCCACCAAGCCAGCTCCTGTATATCTTTCTTAAAACTGCATATGATCTACAATTATCTCAAAATAAAGTTTAATTTAAAAAAATTTACTCATTTTTTTCTTTCTACATAAAAAACCATGAATGAAAAGAAAATGAAGAGTTAAAAACAAAGAAGCACTGGGGCTGGCCCCATGGCCGAGCGGTTAAGTTCGCGCGCTCCGCTGCAGGCGGCCCAGTGTTTCGTTGGTTCGAATCCTGGGCGCGGACATGACACTGCTCATCAAACCACGCTGAGGCGGCGTCCCACATGCCACAACTAGAAGGACCCACAACAAAGAATATACAACTGTGTACCGGGGGGCTTTGGGGAGAAAAAGGAAAAAATAAAATCTTTAAAAAAGAAAAAAAAAACCACAAAGAAGCACTTCCCTTTTCCTGCTTCAATATCTACCTTTCAACTGTAGCTACATGTGCTAACTACAGGATGGACTTTTTACTCTCCTGCAATTGGAAAATCTTTCATACATAAGATTAAATATAAAAATTGAAAACACGTTGTGATATAATGCCCTTACCAATGTTCCCTGGAAACGTCCTGGCTTCTTATACCATGCTCTGTTACCTTCCTCTTCACAGACACATAGATGATCCATAAGTCCATTACTATATACAAAGCATTTTCCTAACAAAGAAGATTCCAACAGTTAACAATTACTTCACACAACTGTATTATTTTTACAGATGAACAAACTGAAAGTATAATGAGTGGACTAGAAAATTATGAGGAGATATAACCTTGTCTTCATCTTTTTTTTTTTTTTAAAAGATTTTATTTTTTTCCTTTTTCTCCCCAAAGCCCCCAGGTACATAGTTGCATATTCTTAGTTGTGGGTCCTTCTAGTTGTGGCATGTGGGACGCCGCCTCAGCGTGGTTTGATGAGCAGTGCCATGTCCGCGCCCAGGATTCAAACTGACGAAACACTGGGCCGCCTGCAGCAGAGCGCGCGAACTTAACCACTCGGCCATGGGGCCAGCCCCACCTTGTCTTCATCTTTTAAGATGAAACATACATAATTTGATTTGCTTGATGACATAGCACTAGGCTCTAAACTCACAGTGGTGAAAAGGAATTGAGTAAATTAGCGGATTTTATATTTTCAGATTTGTAGTAAGCAAATGCACACAGAAATAAATTCTTTTAGGTTTTCTGAGGGAATGGAGAAGGAAGACAAAAGAGGAAAACCTGTTTTGAAAAGTGAACAAGGGTGTACATCTTCTCTATTTGACCAGAAGAAAACTCCATGGTATACAAGGGAAATTCAGACAAAAATATACTATGAAATCTAATGCATATCTGTAAGTTGCTAAGAGAGATCTTAAAAGTTGTCATCACAAGAAAAAAAACTTTATGTGAGATGATGTTAACTAAACTTATTGTGGTAACCATTTTGCAATATACATATATCAAATCATTATGTTGATATATGTATATGTATATACCTAAAGCTAATAAAATGTTATACATTGATTATATCTCAATTGAAAAATAGATTATGGAAAGAAAACTTCTTAATCAAGATAAATAATGCTATGCTTTGTCCCTTTCTCTGTTATTTACACTGCTCAATCTAGACATCTGTCAGCTCCCACCTAATTTACTACAACTGTCTAATACCAACTTCTTTCCATTATCAGGCTTACTATTGCTACCAAAACTGTTTTCTCTGTTCAACCATACACATCCTGTGAGTTTCATAATACACAAGTCTAAGTGCCTCCTTCTGCTTTTAAGGCTTTCTTTAATGCATAGGAAATTATCTTACATTTAGTCTCTTCCTACAATCCATCTATGCATTCATTCATGTGAAAAATGCCTGTTGTTCATTTCATCTCACCCCTATGCATTCAACAGACTGGCATTTACATCTGAGTCAACTTTCTCACAGTCCAAACAGTCTGTTTTCTGCCATTTAAATATGTTTGAAATGCTTTATAAAGCTGTAAAAGATTGACCAAGGAACTGCCATTTTTTCCCGTCTAATAAAAATGTGTAAGTACTCTTCTCAAATTCCACATAAACTACACTGTCCAGCAATTAACCAAGCTGCCTGATAAAATAATGAATTTCCAATCACTGTATTCAAGCAACAGTTGGATGACTGTTGGATGAATGTTCTAGGATGGGCAGAGCTCTTGGACAAAGGAGGAATCTAGATCCTAAGGTCCCTTACAAGTATAATTCTGTTTTTACTTGTGAGGCATATATTCATATATAAAATTGTCCTCTGCTTTAATTAGTAGTTCATAAAGGTGTTATATGTGTTACATATATGTTTTGTGCCTAGACCTCATCATATACTAAGTGATGAAAAACTGTTTCTGCATGGGGTAAAGAGGTATCAATTTTCTTTTTTTTTTTTAATGTTACTTCCTTTTTTTTTTTGCTGGGAAAGAGTCATTCTGAGCTAACATCTGTTGCCAACCTTCCTCTCTGTCTCTTTTTTTCTTTTCCCCTCCCCAAAGCCCCAGTATATCGTTGTATGTTCTAGTTATAAGTCCTTTCAGTTCTTCTATATGAGCCACCGCTACAGCATGGCTACCGAAAAATGATGCGGTTCTGCGCCTGGACACTGAACCCAGGACCCTAAGGTAGAACGTGCCAAACTTTAACCACTAGGCCATCAGGGCTGGCTCGAGATGCACCAATTTTTAAAAACTGACAAAAAGACAGTATGATTCAAACAAAAATAAATGCAGGGACCGGCCCCGTGGCCGAGTGGTTGGGTTTGCACACTCTGCTTCAGTGGCCTGGGGTTTTGCCAGTTTGATTCCTGGGTTTGGACGTGGCGCTTCTCATCAAGCCATGCTGAGGTGGCATCCCATGTGCCACAACTAGAAGGACTCACAACTGAAAATGCATAACTATGTACCGGGGGACTTTGAGGAGAAAAAGGAAAAATAAAATCTTAAAAACAAAAAAAATGAATGCAGTAACATCTAAAAATCTAACATAACAGTTTCAGGATAACTAGCACACATACCTTTATAAAATGGGTTGTTTTGGGCTTGGAGTCGAATTTTAACAACATCAAGGGGTGTCACTATGAAGATACATAAATTTCAATTAACAACTGGTACCTGTAAATTATACAGATATTTGTCCGAAGAACACAAAATACATGGAATCATACCTTTCCTCATGGCTACATAACGGGTAAGATTATCTTAAAGTAGTTGTGAACGTAACACTCTAATTTTTTGCCCTTGAATTTTGTTTAAAGAGGACCAACGAGAAGACAATGTAATTACTTCTGAGTACTGTCATTTATAATATTTCTACAACTATAATTCCATTAGCATTAAAACTAAAATACTAATATTTATAAGAAAATATGTTGTCTAAGCTAAAGAACAAAAGTTCCACAAGTCTATTTAAATATTTGAGAATAACTCTATATTATGAGTAATCAATCATCAAACAATATTAGTCTTTCTAATCTGTTAAATTCACCTGTATCAAATAAAAACTATAGATAATGCAAATTTCAATTAGCTAGCCGTAAATCTTTTACCACCATGTTATGTTATTCCATTTGGGAACAGCACAGCAAAGGAGAATGCTTTTAATTTGCATGCTATATTTTATCTAAGTAGAAAAAAATGCCACACAGTGGTTCTAAGAAAACTTTTCCTCATCTGAGAATGAGGAGGTCACATTAGATGATCTCTAAGGTCTTTACAACCCTAACGTTCTGACCTAAAGTAAGATAGTACATTCTAAAGCAATTAGTTTGTTTGTTCTAATCATTTATCTTATTTAAATGAACTAGCCAACTTAAAGTCATTAAAATGTTAAATGATCACCTAACTATGTCATCTGGCTGTTTCTATAAGAAACAGACTACAAAAAGCAGAAAAATGTGGTCCAGAGAAATTTAAGAAATTCACTGTTAACGCAAGCAAAGTAAAACATAATTTGTATTTGTTGCTACTATAAGTTACCCAAATTCTGTATTATTCATTATGCTAATATTTTATTCTATTTACTTGTTTTCTATTTTAAAAAAAGATAATAGACTTAAAAGTTTAATAGAATATTTAATATTAATATTGATAGGGACCTCAAAGAACCCCACAGACAGTAAAATCCAAATGGAATCACTGACTCATTCAGTTACATAATCTACACCAGTGGCAGTATTCTACCTATTAGTGATGTCAGTACAGCTCCAGTACAAGAGGCAAGCATTTGTTGAAGAGGTGTCACTTTGATAATCTGTGGTCCCCCTGCTTCAGGATCCATATTTTTAACTAACAGAAGAAAAATCTGGTAAAAAAAAAAAGGCAAGAGGCAAAATAAAAGCTTAATGGAAAATGTCCTCAAAATTGACTGCAAAAAATTAAAGAAATGATAAAAACAATAATCAGTATTAATATCAAAGCACATGTTGTTGACCACCATCAAAAGTAAATATATAAGTTCTATACACAAAGGTACTACACAACTGTCATTAATAGAACACGTTCTCCGACTTTCCAAAAATGGTAATGTACTTCAGCTAAGCTATGTGAGCAGCATCACATTTGTAAGACAGTTAATAGAGCATTAAGAAAACAGATTCTCATCATGTAACAAAATGAAAGCAGTTGACCAATAAGGCTCAGAACCTGTGAATTTAGCCTAAGAACTACTCAGATACTCTAATCTAGCACAGAGTTATCAGCAAATAGAGCACTATTTTTATTGCATAGCAAAAGTTGTTGCAAAGGTATAAAATCAAAACACATAACCTTCATAAGAAGTATCATCTTAGAAAAATTTGATGAGAAAAGTAATATATACTCTTTATAAAAAGTCAGTTATAAAAATCACATAAACTTACTATTCAAAAACAACCAGTGACAACATACAGGTGTCATCTTTCCAAATGTCTATGCATACACAAACACTTATATATGTATATGTATGCGTGTGTAAATATACACTCATGCACACACACACACAAGTGCATATTACATCTAATTAATCAAACAAGTACAAACATTTGTGTATCTGTGTATATGCATTTTTTCTGAAAAACAAAAATAGGTGAACACTATTGATATGGCTTAGTAGCCTGCTTGACACTTAAAAATATAGATGTATCAAAAAATACAGATTTACATTATCATTTTTAATGCTTACACAGTTTTTAATTATATTTATTTAATCAGTCTCATATTGTTAGATATTTAGGTTACTGCCAATTTTTCATTTACTCATTCATTCATTTCATACATTCTCATATAAATATCCTTATACATACCTCTTTTTGTAGTCTTCCTACAACTACCACAGCAGGAAAAGTAAGATTGCTGGGCTGAACTATAAACTTGAGAAAAATTGCCAAAATGCTTTCCAGAAAAGTTAGACTAATTTATACTACCATTGGCAATATGAGTTCCTATTAATCCGCAACTTCCCCAAACTTTCTCTTTCACATTACATATCATTTAATTTTTCTGAACCATTTGAAAGTAGACTGCACACATCATGTCCCTTCATCCTAAATACTTCAGAACATTCTTATATAATCACAGTATACTTATCAAATTGAGGAAACAATTTTGATAGTGCTCTACAGTTCATATCCCAATTTTTTTTAATCATCCCAATAACGACCTCTGTAAAAATGGCAGTTTTATTATTTCTTTGGGCTTTTATTATTCACCTACCTGGTTTAAGTTTTTTCTTCAGTTCTATGCTCCAATATTTTATTGTTTGTAACATCAGTAGCTGAAAATCTGTAGTGAAATAATAAAGTATGTCTTATCTTTTCACACAAGAAAGGGATAACAAGCCTAAAGAAAAGGAATATGTAAAAAACTTTAAAACACAAATCAACAAATACTTATTGAATACTTGCTATTAAGGACTTTGAGGAACATGAAGAACACTCCAGATCAGAGTTATGAAAGAATTTTTCACAAGAATTTCATATTATCCCAGTAAATATATTCTGTTTTAAAAACAAACAATTCTAGAACCTGAACATGCTGATTAGTCCCAGTATCATAAGAGTCACTTAGATTTTGTGACACAAAATTAAATATGCAGCATTATCTTTCAAGTATTTACTGGGGAAAAAAGTTTTACCTGAATCTAAACAATCCTTTAGATCTAACTTCTGATTTACAGGAAATTCAGAGATTAAAATAACACGGTAAAGGGTGTCACAAAGTATGAGAAGGGGTATTACTCCAGTCTACAGAACTATTGTCTTGGTTTCTTCAGCAAGTGAAAGGTGGGAAAAGAGGTTGCAGGGGAGGGAGAATTGTTCTCGAATAAAGGAATCTTATGAGAGTTACCAATGAAATGCATCCTGACTCAAATAAGCAAATTTAAAAAGCGAATTTGAGGGTAACTAAAGAAATCTGAACATGGATAGGATATTAGATAATATTAAAAAGTTATTGTTGATTTTGTTTGTGAGATAATGGTATTGTGGTCATGTAGAAAGTGTCTTTTTTAAAGAGATTCATACTGAATGAAGTGTTAAGGGCTAAAATGTTATGACAGCTATAGTTTACAATACTTCAAAAAATATACTAAATGTTAATGATCTGTTAAATCTAGGTGATTAAGTATGCCATAAATATTTCACTCTTCTGTATTTTTCTGTGCATGGGAAAATCTGCAAAATAAAAATTTTTAATTCTTGAAATTTATGTACAATCTTCAAGTCTAAGAACATACTTCTAACATTCATTTATGTGAACACAGTTCTTTTAAGTGGAAAAAGAATATACACATGCCAGAATACAGGTATACTCCTCCTCCAGAAGAGTAAAACGGCCTACAGTGCTTTATTTTTTTTTTTAAAGATTTTATTTTTTCCTTTTTCTCCCCAAAGTCCCCCAGTACATAGTTGTATACTCTTCGTTGTGTGTCCCTCCAGCTGTGGCATGTGGGACGCTGCCTCAGCGTGGCTTAACGAGCAGTGCCATGTCCGCGCCCAGGACTCGAGCGAACGAAACACTGGGCCGCCTGCAGCGGAGCGCGCGAACTTAACCACTCGGCCACGGGGCCAGCCCCATACAGTGCTTTATTTTTATACTCATCCCAGCAAAGTTGGCAACCTGAATATGTTCCCCTGAAATTAAAGCCAAAAAACCCATCATATATTTCCAGCAATTATTTAGAATGTAAGGGGGAAAAGCCAGAAATTTAGATATAGCTTTTTAGAATCAAAAATTAAGGTTACTGGACTTTTTATTACTTCTTAACATATATGTATTTTCGAAAACTAAGTTGTATAAACAATCTTCTAAGATCATAACATATCACCTTACAATGAGATCTGAAAAACTAGTCTCCTTTTCAATCTATCCAAAAAGTAATGTCGAGTAAATGGACAACATAGTCACAGATTTGGGAGTAGATGGAGAAAAAGTGAGAAGTAATAATCTTAGTGGATTTTCTAGAACTCATAATGTATTCTCCAGCACCTTAAATTCCCTCCACTCTTATCAACCTACTTATCTTTTTTCTTTGCATCCTTCCATTCTTCTATGTGGCAGATACTGTTCCTTTGTCAGGGAGCATATGGACTAGTGAGAGAGATGACTTTAATATTAATATCTTCTGTAACTTAGGACATAAAAAAAAATGTTCTGCAAGAATAGCTTTCTCCCTCAACTCTATGAAATTCCTCTTTTCTATACCTTTTCTGCATTCTGTGTCCTACTTAGGTTAGTATTAACGATTTGCTACACCTCGCCAAAGTGGTCTTCATGTATAAAGGGTAAACATTTTTAAACATGAATCATCAAGGAGACTTTCTTGGGGGAAGAAACGAAAATAATTTAATGATAAAAATCTACTCAACCAAGTGATAATGGAGATGGTTTAATAAAAGGATTAGAGTAATATCCAAGTCAGAAGATAGTAAGTCAATATACACTTAGTATTATCAGAATTTTTAATTTTTTCAAATGTGTTAGAAGCCATCTTGTTACAGTTTTGATTTATGTCCCCTGATCAATAATGATGCTGAACATCTCTCCACATTTTTATTAGCAGTATGTGTTGCCTCTTCTGTAATATGTCCATTTATATCTTTGCCCATTTTTCTTTTGAGGCATTTATATTTTTCTTATTGGTTTGAGGAATCTTTTATTCTTAATACAAATTATTTGTAGGATGTGTAAATTATATCCTCTCAGAGTCTATAATCTGTCTTTCCAGTTTCTTTAAAGTATTTTTTGATAAATGAAAGTTCTCAATTTTTTGAATTAAAAAACATACAACATGAAATCTATCTTCTTAAATTTTTAAGTATATAGTACAGCACTGTTAACTATATGTACCTTGTTATACAGAAGATCTCTAGAAGTTTTTCATCTTGTGTGACTGAAGCTCTATACCCATGAAATAGCAATTCTCTTTTTCCCCCTCTCCCTAGGCCCTGGCAACCACCATCTTCTTTTCCTATTCTAAGAGGCTGACTACTTTAGATACCTCACGTAAGTGCAATCACGTAGTATTCCTCCTTCTGCGACTGGCTTGTTTCACCCAACATAATGCCTCCAAAGTTCATCCATGTTGTAGCATATAACAGGATTTCCTTCTTTTATAAGGCTAAATAATACCCTATTGTATGTATATACTGTATTTTGATTACTCACTTGTCTATTGATAGACATTTAGATTGCGTCCACCTCTTGAATTGTACAAAATGCTGCAACGAACTTGGGGGTACAAATATTTCTTCAAGAGCCTGATTTCAAATCTTTCAGATAAATATCCAGAAGAAGGATTGCTAGGTCATATGGTTGTTCAATTTTAAATTTTTTGAATAATCTCTATTGTTTTCCATAGCAGCTACACCATTTTACATTTCTCACCAACAATGCACAGGTTTTGATTTCTCCACATCCTCACCAGCACTAGTTTTGTTTTTGTTTTTTGATAATGGCCATTGTAACAAGTGTGAGGTAACAGCTTGTGATTTTAACTTTATTTGCCTGATGATTAGTGCCGCTCAGAGTCTTTTCATGTTCCTGTTGGCTTTTTGCATGTCTTCTTTGGAAAAATGTCTATTAAAGTCCTTAACCCAGTTTCTAAATAAGTTATTTCTTTGTTATCGAGTTGTAGGAGGCTACTTATATATTTTGGATTCTAATCCCTTATCAGATATATGGTTTGTAAATATTTTCTCTCATTCTTTAGACTGTCTTTTCACTCTGTCGATTGTTTCTTTCGCCATATAGAAGCTTTTTTATTTGATGTAGTCCCACTTGTCTTTTGTTTTTATTGTCTGTGTTTTTGGTGTCATATCCCAAATATCATTACCAAGATCATGTTATGAAGCTTTTCTCCTGTTTTCTTCTAGAAGTTTTATTTCAGGTCTTACATTTAAGTCTTTAATCCATTTTGAGTTGATTTTTGTGTATAGTGTAAGATAAGGGTCAAAATTCTTAATTTAATGTTGCCAAATTTATTGATCTTTTCCTTTGTAGACAACACCTTTTCGTGTCTTCTTTAAGCAATCTTTCCCCACTCAAAAGTCCAAAAGATATTCAGCTATATTTTCTCCCTAAAATTTATTGATAGCAAAACTTTAAAACTTTTAAGTCCTTAATTCACACAGAATTTTTTAATAGCATGTGAAGTAGAGATTCAATTTCATCTTTTTCCCTGTGAGAACAGATAACTAATTTCTCCAGCTCCAATTATTAAATAATCCCTCCTTTCTCCTCTAAACTGACACATTACTTTGTCATACCTAAGTTCTGTTTCTGTGTGGAACTGTTTCTAGACTCTAATCTATTGGTCTATTATCTATCTTTACCATACCACACTGTATTATTGAGTCATAGTAAGTCCCTATATTTGGTAAGGCAAGTCCACCCTCCCCATTCCTCTTGTTCAGGAGTGTCCTGGCTACTCTCGGCTTTTGGTCCTTCATATAAATTTGAAAATCATCTTACCAAATTCCTTGAAAAACTTCTTCAGAATTTTGATTGGAACTGAATTGAATCTATAGATAAATCTGGAGAGAATTAATACCCAAGAATATAGTCTATTCCTTCATTTTTTCAGGTCTTCCTAAACGTTGTTCTGAAAAGTTTAAAAATTTGTGCTACAGACATCTTGCGTATTTGTGGCAGATCTAGCTCTAGATACCTCGTAGTTTCTAATGTTAATATAAATAGTGTCTTCCTTTTAATTACATATTCTCTTTGCGGTTAGCACACACAACTGATTTTGTATATTTTTTTTTTCAGATTTTTTTATTTTTCCTTTTTCTCCCCAAAGCCCCCCGGTTCATAGTTGTGTATTTTTAGTTGTGAGTCCTTCCAGTTGTGGTATGTGGGATGCCACCTCAGCGTCGCCTGATGTGTGGTGCCATGTCCATGCCCAGGATTTGAACCGGGGAAACCCCGGGCTGCCGAAGCAGAGCGTGTGAACTTAACCACTCGGCCACGGGGCCGGCCCCAATTTTGTATATCTTATATCCAGCCAACCTTGCTAAAACAAATCCATTATTTCTAATTATTGATTTATAGACTCTTCTGAGTTTTTATATAAAAGTTTACATTGTCTACAAATAATAAGTTGGCTTTCTGCCATTCCCAATCATCATGCTACCAATTTAATTTTCTTATTGCACAGGCTAGGATATCCAATACAATGTTAGGTAAAGAGTGGCAGAAATGAGTATCTCTGTCCCATTTCTGAATTTAAAAAGAATTCTTCTAAAATTCCCTGTTACAATGATGTTTGCTCTAGACTTTTTTTT